CAAGCTACCAATACATGGTTAACTTATTGACCAAGTTTCTAACATATCAATCAACTACAAATATATATAAAATCAAAACAGCATCTATGAAGCTTCTAGAAAGCTTTTCTAAAAGATATTATGAAATTAACCTACTTTTAATTACTTTTACATACTTCTACCTAATCATATAGGTATCTATTAGTCTATCTATGTATATCAGTGACAGGTACATCTTTTCAAAGTCTAAATGTATGATTGTTTTGTTGATGTGTGGATGAAATATTATTATTGCCATTTTTTTACATATGATTTCAATGACAATACAACATCCCTTAGTATTAAGAGTATTTTAAAATTAAAAATATATAGCGGGAAAATGAATCTATTTTTATTTAGAGATCATTATTTATTTTTATAATGGTTAGAATTGATGGATTGATTTGAGAAAAACTTTGGTCTATTTGACATTCTCTATTCTATCTATATATATATATATATATATGTATATGTAATAACATATTAATTCTTAATAAGTTGTTTGATTTTTAAATCCAAATATAGATTATATATTTTCTTATACTATTTTTTTTAATTATTTATATCTTTAACATATATGATGTACATATTAACATATCACCATTAAAAAAATCATAAATAATAATAATAATAATACTAATAAAATTACTGCTTTTTATAAGTTTAAAATATATAGTTTTTTCCACACATGGACTCCACAGACAAAGCAAGCTAAGTTTGACAACCAAGAACCAACTACCAAACAAATAGTCATCAATGATGAATTTATCATCAACATCATCACGATCATTCAAAGGTTCAAACGAAAGAGACACAGCTGAAGAAAACAAATTCTACAAAAAAACGTACATCTGGGGATGAAATCTCCCCCAACTTAACAGGAAGTGTAGAAAGCGGTGGACGGTAAATCTAGGAAATTTGAAGAAGTACAAGCCGAGAGGGAGGTTGTACCAGGAGGGAAGAGCTGGTGAGGAGAAATCTAACATTTTCGAAGAGGTACAGGCTGAGAGTGTAGATGTACTGAGGGGGGCGAGCGGGTGGGAGAAAAAGTGATGTGACAAGTGACGTCTTGAGAAGTGGGGTTGTCAGTTCATGACGCTGGCATGAAAATGCACTCAGTCAAGGCCGGGTCGGGACGGGCCCGCGCTGGGCTCCAGCCCGGCCCAGCCCGGCCCGGCCCGTCTAGCACAATGGTCAGTTCCGGGGAAGAGGGATTGTCTTGTGTCGGGACTGCTTTTGCCCCTACCCTTGGCTTCATTGCAGCAAGAGTGTGAAGCTAGGGCTGTGCCCTGCGTCATTTCAACGCCAGTACGCGGATCATCTCATCCCCCTTTCTACCGATTCCTTACTCTTACGCTCTTTGTACTAAAAAAACACGGTCTCAATTGGTGTCGTTGTGAGTTCGGGAGGTTCAATTGCTTGCAGGCGAAGCGAGGCGTCGTGAAAATCTGTGCCCAGGTAGGGTTGTATGACGCCCTTGAGCTCTGTGTTTTTGAACTGATGGCTATGATGAGAGTTGAGGTGATTGTATTTGGCGTGCTCTGGTTGTGGGATGCTCGCAATTCCCCCCAGCGGAGTTGCAAATGGTGGTGATCAGTAGTGGTGGGCAATGATAGAGTAGTGGAATAGTCGAGTTGTTCGGGAGTGCATCTTTTGTTGGTTTAGTAATGTCTTCGTACTGTGGGTATGGGCGATTGTGCATCTTCAATGATCACCAGGAGCTATGGAAGTGACGACCCCCCTTGGTGTGTTAGTTGGTGTAGTTTTAGTGCACTGTGGTCTAGCTAGGCATTGCTTGCAGGCGGTGGTGGGTTGCAATCGCGTGAAGTATTTCTAGTTTTCATCTGACTGTGGTGCTTAAGTGGTTGCAGATAGCGGAAGAGGCGCTGGCAATTTTCAGTTCACCTGAGAGTAGACCCCCAAGCCATGTTTTGATATCCTTTGTTGCGGTGCATAGTGTGTGTATTGATCGTGAGAGTTCAAATGATTGTCTTTCGAGATTTTTGTAGTTCAAAGTTTGTGACTAGAGGAATTGAAGTTTGAGGAGGTATCGGCCGTCTTCGTGGGGGGTTTGTGCGTGCGGCTTATGTAGACGTTTGTGAGTGCTTTGTGGAGGTGAGAAGATGGGTTTGGTCTAGCTCTTAAAACTCTTCGTCAGGAGATTCTTTGGGACCACATTGCTCACAAGGCAACACCGTTGCGGCTTGTAACTCTCGAGAGAATCCATTCACGGGCTCATGAGTTGGAATAGAACTGGTACCTGGTTAAAAGGGTTTGTAAAGTGGAATACATCAGAATATTGCAGCTGAAACCTCAGGGGAGATGGCAAGGGTAGGGAACTTAACGTGCGTAAGATTTGACAATGTGGTTAGACATGGAGGAATACACAACGCTCCCCATTTGTTTGTGAAGGGTACATGGTTGCCTTCCGCATTCAGTATTTCGGTACATGACGGATCGCTTGCTTGGACTGGCAAGGCTGACAAGGACTTCATTCTAAACCACGCGGGCAAATTAGGGATGACTGAATCGGAGTATGTGGACACAATGCAATGCTATTTTAGCGAACAGCAACCCGATGCCACATATGAATTGAGAAGGACTACGAATTCTAGCGCGGAACTACGCTGCTACAAGGAATCGTCGCCTGAGCTGGTTTTGAGATTTCCAATGAGTACGAATAGTGATCAAACCGTGGCAATTGACATGGTACAATTGTTGCTGGATGCATATCATCAAGTGGACGAAGTGCTTGCAAAGAAAATCCGAGCTCACGACAGAGAGATTGCAGCGAAAGAGCTGGCTTTAGCATCGCTGAAAAATCAGCTTGAAGAAAGGGGAAAGAGTGCAGCACCAAATGGCTACACGAACGGGCAGCCGAATGACGAAGAAGAAGGAGCGGGAGGCCTGATTCTTTTTGGAGAGGCGTCGTCACGCGGTAAACGCAAATCGGGTGGGAGTAACGTGGAAACAAGTTCCAGAAAACGGATGTCTACGCTGGTAAAAACTTCAGACGCTCTGCCGCTTTACCAGAAGCCTGGTTCTCCGGAGGCTTCCGGGGACGATGATTTGCTTGAGAAGCAGTCATCACCATCAGCAGTACGTCCTCCTTTAAGTGCGTTGGGGTACAAGCAGCCGGCGGCAGCGGAAGAACGCCATACCTCCTTCAAAGGCTTGTTTGACGAAATAGGAGCTGAGGCTAACAAGGAACGTTCTAATGTTGCGTTTAAGCCTACTCTTTCTGATGAAACTCAGACCACTCCTAAGAAGCCGTTCCTTGACCACTTTTCTGATGCAACAACAGTATTGGTAAGCAAAGACAACCTGGACCCAGCATCTGTCTCAGGGAGGAAAGGAGGTGGTAAATATCAAGGGAGATCAGGTGGTAGAGCAGGTGGAAAAGTAAGTAAGAAATATCCTCCTCCACCTTCCGTCGAGAATTCTGTAGAAGACCAGGTGGAGGACGTTGTAGAGAAGAGCATAAAATGTGTGGACAATATCGTGTCGACTCCTTTAAGTACAGCAGTGAAGCCACGGGGTGCGGCCCCCACATCTGCAAAGAAGTCAACGGCTTCGAAGAGCTCTTCAAAAGCCAAGAAGAGTGGCCCTAAAAGCGGCAAACGAAAATCAAAACCAGTCGTGGCGATGGAGGAAACGTCGTTAGAGGTAAGCGAAAAGGTCGATGCGAGTGAAGAAGCCGAGGTGAATGCCAAGCCAGAGGATGAGGACACCGACAGAATTATTGCGGTGCAAAGTGCCGAGTTCCATGATTTCGATCAGACTCGGACTGAATCCGATTTTAAAGCAGGCGACTTTTGGGCACTCTACGACGACCAGGATAGTATGCCTCGATTCTATGCACGCGTCCTAGAAATTATTACGGATGGCTCTTTTCAAGTTCAGGTGCAATGGCTGGAGCCTTACAAACCCAGCCTTCCTGCTAATGGTCTCGTCAAAACTGCGCATCTGTCTGCTTCCTGTGGAGAGTTCACATTAGGAACCTTGGGGCATGAAAATGCATTACAGAACCTTGGGGCATTTTCACACAAGATCAAAGTGGGAGAAGAGGCAAAGAAAATGGTCAAGTATTTCCCAAGAACAGACGAGATCTGGGCCTTGTACAGACACTGGGATAAGAAGCAAGTGAAGAAAGATGACCAGGATGAATTGAAGTACAGTTATGATTTGGTCCAAGTAAAATCAACACCATCGCCTGCAGAGGGGGTGGATGTTGTACCGCTTGCTAAAGTGGCAGGATTTAAGTCGCTATTCACTGTTGCAGATGCGGGAAAATTTACTATTTCCTACAAGCAATTACAGGCGCGGTTCTCCCATTGTATACCTGCAATTAAGCTCTCTTGTGCCGAGAGTCCTGGAACACCGGTTGGCTCATTTGAACTTGATCCTGCATCGACACCCACGGAGTACTTAGGCATCGGCGACAGTTCTTGATGGGCTTTCTATGTCTTCCAGCTAGTGGCCTAATTTTGAAATCCTGTAAATTGAGTTGTAGTGAATGCAGGTGGGGTCTCCTGTCAGTGCTGCATTCCTGGGTCCAACGTTGTTTTCGAGGAGGCATTCCATTTTTACCTCTTTACGTTCACATACACTAGCGAGTCATACAGGGTCGGTATGAACATTGAGACAGAAGTCATAAGACTTGTGACATGAAACCATCTTTTATCACTAATTCATCGAGTCCGTCATTAATATATCTCTGAACGTGAAACTATTAAATATCAGGTGCTGCTGTTATCAGCACAAACAACGAAGAAATCAAAATACACAATCAAACTCTCGGATCTTCCATGGTTAGACCTCTCCGAGATGCGAAGAACTTTCTATCTTTGCATTCTTTTCTGGAAAATATGGGAGCTGGAATCAGCCATTGCTCAATTCTTCAGCAGAATAATAAATTTTACCTTTTACAGGAACTAGATCTTAAGAATGAAAACCCTTTGCAAAACTTCAGAGGAAAAAAATTAAAAAATTAAAATGTTTGGATAAAACAATTGGTCTTATTCCTGCTTCACGCACTTTCACAGGTTTTAACAACTCCTCGAACTTTTGATTAGCTGAAAACAAATCGGTCTGAAAAATCAAACTGTTTGATTATTTTATATGTATATAAAATAATAGGCACCTGTATCTTGTTATGACTGATAAAAAGATTAGGAACTCTACATGAAACAACTTGTAAATGAGAATTCTGAGCCTAAAAAAACTAGAAGCATTTCGAATGTCACAACCAGAAGCGAGACTATCAGAAGATTTCTGTATTAAAGCTGCACATCCAGTTGCATCGTACTAGTTGCAGAAGCATCTGCAGAGACTACGCACCTCACCCGAAAATTAAGATGCTTCATCATTACTGCTCCATCAGAAAAAACTTCCAAGTTTTGACTAAAACGCATAGTTACCTTACGAGCATGACCAGAGAACTCGCCACAATCATTAGGAAAATCCGGTTTAATCTCAGAGTCAACCGACCAATCAGGCTTTAGGTACAAAACGGCATCAAAAACCACCTGCAGCCGAGTCAGCAAACATTCAGATACTAAAACCTGGATGCTTCTAGCATTCGACCAATATAATAACTTAAGTTCAAAGAAATACAAATCCAATCTAACTGAGTCCGAACTCGATATTCCGTTTCAAAACATCCCAAAAGAAATTTCAGTAACTGAAAATTACCTCCCCAGTTCCGAGGCTGACATCTACAGTAGAACAAAGGGAAAGCCTACTTGGCGATTGTTGCAAAATGTGCAGAACTTCGGCAGGATCCTCTAAATCATATTCTTTTGTGCCATCCAAGAAATTAAGGTCATCAAAATATCGCTGAGCTGCAGTAACCTGCAAAGAACATAATATTAATAATCATAGAATTCAGCTGATCAGATCAACTTATGGGTTTCAATCACACAGATTATACCTTCCGACTCTTTAGCTCGCCTTCAAAAGTTGAAAGATCCACCACACTGCCCCTACTTTGGCGCCAGAGACATTCTTCAGTGAATGGCTCAGCTAGAAGTGTGCCTCTTGGCAAAGCCACATTCACACAAATCAAATGCCGACCTGGATGTTTCATAAACCATGAAATTGTCAGACTCGGAACCTTCACGAAAATTCCAGTTTGCAGGTCACGAACAAACATGATTGGTTTTGAAGCAAGCAAGAAATATAGTGCTAGGTACCGAAGCTGACTTCGTACCAGGCTGAATTGCAAATGTGACAATGTCCTCTTCAGTTCTACCCTCATGCAAACGCTCCAAGCTGGTAAGGCAGACAGGTTTGTCATTATTAAGGCTGTAGACATTGGAAAGATTAGGTGTATAAACAAGTCAAGCGAGCAGGATTAAAGCAACATTTGAAAAATTTCCAGCCAGTGCATCTAGGACAGACCTGCTTGCAACTTGCGGATTATCATAAGAACACCACCACGCAGGTAAACCAAGAATCGCAACATTTGAAAGCTGCATAGGGGAGAGATATCCAGAGCTCAAGTCTAGCCTCGAGACTTGGTGCGTCTCTACATGATGTCAAATTCATATCAGAAGCCAAATGATTTCATACTAACAAGTAATACAGGCGTGTAACAACGGATAAGGGATGGCACCCACAAACCGACAGCTTCTGGCCCTATCAGTCAGCTTCTAACGCCACAATCACAATTTCGATATACATTCTTCATAATTTGTCTCTATAGCAACATAATCTACAAAAGTCCTCAATTACAGGAGGATAAAAATTCACTGAAAGGCATAACCAAGGATATTACGTACCACAGACATACACAGAAGAAGCGTCATAGAAAGAATGTGATACCTGGATCTATGACTACAATTTCACGCGCCAGCGCTGCCACCTGTGACACCACATTAGACAACCCCTCACAAGCCAATCCCTTACTGACAAGGGCTTCATACACAGATTCCCAGTCTAAATTGTTGTCCTCCAACTCAGCAATTTTTGATTTCATCAGCTTCTTGAAAGTTGTTGCCGGTTCTGTCCATTGATATCAAAGAGACGTCGTAAGCTAATTGTTAACAGAAATTATTAAAAGAAAGATAACCACACTGACTAAAAACCTATTTTGCCCAGATAATTACTCATAAGCTCAAACGACTACCCACGACTTCAACGTACAGCAAAGATCACTTCCGGTACGAAAGACATACCTTGATCAGGCTCGACGGTCAATGCCCCTGTGTCAACATCAATCATCCACGATTGTTTAAACCTGAAATTGAAAGAAGGCAACATAAGAAACGTTTTACAGAATCATGGCAATGCTTCCAAGTTCACTTTTTAAGAGAGACAACATGTAGGTTGATTGACCTTTGCTTGTACTGAAGATAGAGCAAAAGAATCATGAGTTAAAAGTGAACAAAATAAAAATGAATAGCTTGAAAAGCTGCAATCAGTTCATGAAATTTGTTTCGTAAGAAGAACAGGTGTTCGTGACGAACCTTGACTCACCACTGAGTTGAAGCGATGACATGCCCGCTAGACACTACGGAGAGATGCCAAGGATAAGTCATCTCATAATCGTTAGAAACATTGCTTCTTTTCTGAGAAGACCCTTGTAAAATCCCCAACCTATGTAGCCACCTTTGCAAAAAGCCTGGGCATTCATCTGGTTTGGGATATAAAGTATCCACCATTCTAGACGAAATATGTGCTCTTCGTATAGCATGGTTCTGCACACACCCAATCACAAATTGAGACAATAGAAAATTTCAAACATTTAATCATCAAAAACTGGGAAGGGTAGGTGCACGCGGGAACTTGGGATGCTCAAGCCAAGTAGCTTCGTTCACAGCAATGTTCGGACTGATATCAGGTGCTTCACACAATTAAACACGAAGCCTTACCTCGCAATCAGCAATATAAAGGAGCTTCTTTTCCTTATCGAATACAATAGACGATGGTCTTCGAAGCCTTGCAGACTCAAAAGACCCATCCTCAAAGCCCGCAATCGACCCAATCTGCAAGGAAAACCTTCTCAATAATTTCCTCCTCAAAAGTACACAAAACAGCAGTCGGAACAACATACACCTGGCACTAACTGTTACACTAAAATCACATGGAAGACTTTCAAAACCGGTTCATCAGCTCAAGCTCAGACCAAGTATGCTTAACACACGAGTATAGAGGAGCGCGTCTTACGTAATCAAGCACTCTTCCGCTTCCATCCAAAACGATAATGCGGTCGTGAAGACTATCCGAGACAAAAATCAAGTCCTCTTCTGAACATGTTGCTATACCACCTGCAATAGATGGTTCACTCGTTAGTAGGGTGAGTGAATAACATTATCCAAACCCACCAGCAAGTGTCACAGTCATTCTTCCATCCTCAGAAAGCCAGAGGTAGTCCCTCACATATATGTATGCTGAACCGTGTAGCTCCTGACTAAACTAACTGCAGACGAGAGAAGTAAATTCTTACGGGGGTTGCACAGAATCGTCTCAAATTTGTGCTCCAGTTGCTGATTTATCGAAGCTCGCTGAATGACTGTTGGCGTCTGCCTGGAAGCTTCAGGGATCCGTCCACGATCGAGCTCAACACCCAATGTACTCAGCCAACGTGCTTGGAAACGCTCGGCAGAGGCTAAAACAGCCAAAGAGTCACCGCAATGCAAGCCATTAGATAATTTACAAAATGACGCCACTCCAAACTTACGTCCCAAAACCTTAAACCCAAATCCCGTCACCAACGTATAAAATTTACTCTACGAGACCCATGGATAAACCTATACACGCCACAATTTCGTACACACGTACAGCACTGGAACTTACGAAAATAAGTATCGCCATGGAACAAAGCCGCCTGTAACACCCTGCTGCAACCGAAGATGCGCTGCGATGCTAGCCTCCTTAAAACCGGACGCAACAACACTACTCCCATTTGTCTCATGATTGACACCAAGCTCACAAGGCCGCAGCCGAAACCTGCGCATCAATTCTGAACCTGCGAAACACCGTGCCTCCCGAAAATTTACCACCAAAACAATACGCTTCACATAAATGAACTGAACTCAACGCAACAAAAAATTCAAACGTACCCTGCTTAGAATCCTAGTCCACAAATTTGAAAGCAATCAACAAGGGCATTCATCACAGATCATCGAACACGCCGCAAACACCACCATTGTGATTCATAACTCCACCTTCGGGAACGACTCGCATCAGAACCAAAAAACATGTCCACTGACACCCACTTCATCATAATTCTTCGCCGAAAAAATCTTCACAAAATCTTCACAAAATCTTCACGAACATCTAACAATCGACTCACGAGGCTTACCCAATTACTGTGCACCCAAAAAAATCCAGCTACCTCCACCATCTTCCAAAATGCAGAGCCCTTCTACTCGAAACATCCTTAGATTTCGACCGAACCACGAAATTTGAAAGTGGATTCTCTAGGAAAACTTTACAAAGACGTCGATCCATGAGTGGGGGGCTGCACCGATTCCACTAAACCCTAACGAATGCTTGAATCTGCTTCCTTCTCTCAAGAGTTTGGAAAGCCTCCGAAAGATCCGTCCCAGCCGTCGTCGTCCAAGTTTTCGTTGTAAAGTTACTTATCGTTCATCTTTCGTTCGTCAACTATCCGTCCAAAATGACAAGGGTTCATAACCAGGGCTTTTGCAGGCTTTGTGGAAATGCTTCAACAATACATTCTATTTTTTTATCAGTCTTTTATAAATAAATAAAAAATTCTAAGAATGTTAGAATTTGGGGATAAAAGTAGTAACATATAAGTCTGTAATTTCTATAATATTAAAAATATGTCAAGCGTGCTTTATAAATTATGAAGAAGGTGGAAAAGTATTTAGAAAATGACACACATTCGCAATGTATAATGAACATTGTTAAGAAGCTAAAGGGAAAAAGGTGAGCTTCATGTATGTATTTATTTATTTATTTTAAAAATTGATGTTAATTTTATGCAGTGAAGTTGATGTTTATTGGGGGGAAACTATATTGAACTTACAAGCAAAAAATAAAATAAAATAGAAAAACATTAAGGTCCAACCTCACTGTTAAAATAAAAGTTAAGCCAGTAAATTCTGGTTTGTGGAAAGTCTATTAAAAAAGTATATCAATCAAGCTTTAAAATAAATACACCCAAAATGTATTTTTTTAAATCAAAAAGTCAACTTTATACTTATTAAAAAGACCACCAAGTAATGACCCCTTTGAAATATATGTGTATAAAGAGGGTTTTAGAAACACAAAAATTATTAACAAATACATCAATTTAAAATACAAACAATGAAACTTATTATTTTAAATCGATATTATAGTATCATTAAAAAAACCAATTAAATTAAAGCACTCTCTTTCAATAAAGAAGGAGTTGTAAAAAAATTATTTTATTTTAATAATTTAATAAAAAAACATTACTACATAACTTAGATTAAAAAAATAAGTAATCAAATGCACGTAACATGTTGAAATAGAAATACCAATGTAGCTTATAAAAATATAAAATAAGAATTAAATGACTTTTCCAAGATGTAACAAAACTTACACAGGTTACAAGATAATCAAAATTTGGAATCACCTAAATGTCTTCTTTAATTTATATCAGCTAATAATTTAGATAATTTTCGTTTAAGTTGCAAGAAACTTGCTATAAGCTACTCAATAAACTTTTTCACAAGACTCAGTACTCACACATTTATGACTGATTTGTAAAAAATCAAATTTCAAATTTTAAAAAAGAAAAAGTAAATACTTTCTTAAAGAGTACAAAATTCTCATACATCCTAAATGTAGAAATTTGGAACATTATTTATTGTATCACCATAAATTTTATATTACAATATTACAGCATGCCAACATAGAAACATTACGCTATGAGCCGGTTCAATTAATATTTTCAATTACCAGCAAAATTTCAGTCCTCAAAATTTCCAGAAAATTCTTTGATATGCTTTTGAATTTGAAATTAGAAACAATCATCCGATCTTAAATCCAACTTGAAAAAAATATCCCTCATACGATAGGAAACATCTAGTAAAAGTGAAACTTTTATACTACCCACGCACAATTAAATACCAAAATAAAAAAATAAAACCAAATCACAAAACTATTCAAAATTTTGATTTTTTCCGAGTATTACAGTAAAAATCTCCTTCAATTTGTAAAGCCAATATATAGTAATTTTTTAAAACCATGATAGGATGTGGAATATGGCCATTTCATGAAGTCATGGTTTAGTAATAAAATGATCGAAGCTTCTTTAGGGGTTTCCCCATACGGGCACCCTCACGCCCCTCAGAGGCAGTTGTCCAGAAGACGGCGACCTCCGGTCAGAAGCCGGCTTTGGCTACCGCCCCGCAACGACATTCTAAAAGCGTCGCCGAGGACATGAAGTCGGTAACGCAATCGAGACAAGACGAGATCAAGATTTTTCCAAGTGGAGAGGAATCCAGAAATCCTTGAGGATAGATTCACTCGATTGCAAGGTCGAAACCAGCAATCCAAGACGAAGATTTTCGTTGATTGCAGAGTTGAATTCAGTCTCCATATTCACGATAGACTGCGAGCAAGAGCTGCGATGCAGTGCCCTCGGAGCCGATTTTCCATCGGGGATGCGTCACGAAGTCTTTGTGAACGACAGCCGGAGTTCAGTGACCCGAAGATTAAGCCAGTTTGGCGAAACAGGTACGGGGAGGCGAAAGAATACGTGAGGATCGACCTTCAGGGGTGAAGTAGGTCGGGGGTCTGGATCGATCCGTGACCCCGCTCTGCTTTCGTCCGTGGTGACATTGATAGTTGCGCAACGCCGACGGTGAGCTTCTCCCGTGATCTGTCAATAATCAATCTGGAATAATCGCGTCACCCGGTGTTGGAACAACAACTGAAGCCCACGATTCAGAGGCGCAGTTGCCGCCTGAGAGACCTTCGCAGGCATGATGTTCACTCATGGTAGAATCGCCGCCTCCGAACACCAACGATCAAAGAAAAGAAAAGAATACGAGACAAAAATAATAATAAAATCGACAAACTTCGGTGCTATCCGACTCAGAAATGGAAAATAGTCGTGCTGAGGTCGAGTAGACTCGCAATGCGACTTCGAACTTACTGGACTCGCCCCACAATTACTATTTCCAAAACTTGTTTGGATAGGATTTCGTTACATTCAACAACCGAACTGTCTGTTCAAACGCCGCCTCTATCCTCAATTCTCTGAGTCGGGTGCCTGCAGTATGACATCGAGATGAAACGATGAAACTGAAGAGTGTCCTCACTCACAGCTTCGTGTATTCCGTGAAAAAGAAAAACTGTAACGGCAACTGGGAATAACACTCCCACCAACTTGTGGAAAGAGACTCTTAACACACAAAAGACTCCCTCTATCGGGCGTCACCGCCCCACGATCTGCGCGGATGCCTCAGTCGATTACCCACAAGTGAACCAAAATGCTGGAAAACAATGACTTGCTTTGTCGTGTAAGATCTGGAGATCACGCTGACGCTTCGAAAGAAAAAAACCGAAAAAGAGAACTAAAGAGAAGAAAACAGCAGATGCGTAGAAAACGACGCGTCCGGTGTATAAGTTGTTCTGAAGTCTTTTTTAGTTATTTATTTATTGATTGATTTATTTTCATTTGGTTTTGCCCTCTCTCTATCCAGGGCGCGGCATCCATGTCCAAGTCCGAATCGCATCCACGCGAAGGGATATGTCAATCCAAAGCACAGACAGTACTCGAACGTTCACTTCACAAAAAGTAAGACTTCCAGTGGCTTTTTCACAGTAACCCTATAAACGATTAGAATCAACCCATGTATACTCCTCTTTGTTTTACTTCCAGAATTCTTAGAATCAGCATATAATCCATTCGCACACCCTCATTTCTGGTCCCCTTGCGTTGTTTGTGTGTTTCCAGGTGAAAGTACAGATCAGTGTACGTGAAGCTTGTTACGATGAGGACGAGATGCGTGTGTGGGTTGTTTGTGATCCTGTTTCTGGTGTCGGCGTTTGTTTCTGTCGACGCTCGATCGCACTATCATTATGATTTGCGGAGCCAAAGCTCCGATGAATCGTCGGATCCGCTTGTTGCGTCGAAGTTGAATGTTTATGCGACACAGCAATTCCCCGGAGAATTGACGAAGTCCCATTTTCCTGAAGGATTTATCTTCGGATCAGCAGGATCAGCATATCAGGTGCCATGTGTTTGCATGTCTAGATTTGTTTTGTATGTAGTTTTAGGGTTTTGTAATCAAAGGTTTTTCAATGTGAGTATTTCTGGATTAGATTTGTGTGGATGTTTGAATTAAGATTTGTGTTTTAAAAAATTAAAGAACTACTTGAAAAGAATGAAATTGTGATGTCTTTTAAGACTTGTTGTTTAGGTGGAATTGATATTTCTTTAGTAATATAATGACAATATAGAAGTGTGTGTGTATATATATATATATATATATATATAAATGAGTTTTAAATGTATGATTTTGTGATTATTTGTAGCTTGAAGGTGCTGCTTTTCAAGGAAATAAAGGTAGAAGCATTTGGGATGAATTTGTCACTCGAAAAGGTATAGTTTCTTCACTATAGTTTTATTTATTTATTTATTTATATTTATTTGAAAACATAAAATAAATAATATAATATTATTTTTGATGTGAAGTTTTTGAAATTTATTATAATACATGTTTTATTTTTTTGATTTTAAATTATAGTGATTAATTTTTTTGTGGCATAGGAACAATTATTGATAACTCCACGGGAAATATTGCTACTGATCACTTTCATCGTTATCCGGTATGTCAAAACTATAACAAAGTTTAGAAATTATTATATAAGATTACTTCAAAAGTTTGAATTTATTATAGTTTAATTTTTTATCATGTTACTAACAAATTAAATATACATTTTATTTCAGGAAGATATATGGCTTATGAAAGATATAGGATTTGATGCGTATCATCTTTCAATTTCTTGGCCAAGAATATTTCCAGGTTTAGTCTCTTTTGTATTTAATTATAAATTATAATATAATATAACATAATATAAATATATTTTTATTGTATTAATGGTTTTAAAAAAACTTATTTTAAAATTTTTGAATTTTTATTAATTATTAAATTAACAATTTATTATTTTAAAATATAGATGGTGTTGGAGTTGTAAACAAAGAAGGAGTTGAATTTTACCACAAAATGTTTGATGCTTTATTAGAAGCAGGTAAATTTTTTTCCTCCTTTTTTAGTCTTTTGTTTAAATTTTTTTGTTTGATTTAAAATTTTGATAATTTAATAAAACTAAAATTGACAAGATTTCATTTTATAAGTTTTATTTAAAAAGAAATTTAGTTCTAATTTTTTATTTTCCAAAGTTTGATTATATTTGAGTTCTAAATATTTGGAGTTAATTTTTTTGTTATAATATATTTATGATTATTAAATTTTTTGCAACTTATTTTCTCAGAAATTGAACCATATGTTACAATTTACAATTGGGACATGCCTTTATCACTTGAAGAAACTATGGGTGGTTGGCTAAGCCCAAATATGGTGTAAGTACTACACTAATCTTGGATTTTTTGATGTATAAAAGCTTAATCAATTAGTTTTTAAATTAATTTTATTTATTTGTTTTGGGTTTTTTTTTAAATTAATAATAAATCTTTAATATAAGATTAAAATTTGATATTATATAATAGTCAATTAATTTATCTTGTGTAGGGATATATATGGCAAATTTGCTCGATTTTGCTTCAAAGAATTTGGAGGCAAAGTGAAGAAATGGCTTACATTCAATGAAATCCATAGCTTTGTACAATTAGGCTATCTAAGCGGCATTTTTGCTCCGGGCCGTTGCTCACAACCATATGGCAATTGCATAAAAGGAGACTCTTCTGCGGAACCTTGGATAGCAGCACATAATGCATTAAATGGACATGCTCATGTTGTTAATATTTACAAAAAAGAATTTCAAGTGAGTTTTTTTTTACCATTTTAAATTTATTATTTGTTAATTTTATCTTTGAAAATAAGTAATTAACTTCTATATATATACATATTTTGCAGAAACATCAAAACGGAACTATTGGAATTAAAAATGATTGCATGTGGTATTTTCCTCTTACTAACTCCAAAGAAGATAAAGAAGCAGCTCAACGAGGGCTTGAATTCTATCTTGGGTGGTAAGATTATATATATATATATATATATATATATATTATGTTTTTATAATCTCATTATATTATATTATAAAATATTTTTTATATTTAAAAATATTTTTATTTGATTTTAAATTAAATATTATCATATATAAATATTTAATATTATTGTTGAATTTTGATAGGTTTATGGATCCTATTATATTTGGAGACTATCCACTTTCAATGCGTAATTATTTAGGAGCTCGACTACCCAAATTCACAAAAAAGCAAAAAACTTTGATCAAAGGATCATATGATTGGATTGGATTTAATCACTATTCAACTCAATATGCTTATCACACCAATCAAACAATTGATAATGATAGTGGAGTAGGTTTTACACGTATGTTATTTTCTATTCCTTGTTATTTATATTTATACAGATTTTTTTATTTATTTATTAAAAAATAGTTACACTATAACTTAATAGTTGCTCCACACATAAGTATTACCAACTTTCAATGTTCATTTTATTTATTTTCCTTCTTTTTCACAGCTTATTGCAATGGAACAATCATCGGCCCAGAAGTAAGTAAACACTCATTGTCTTCATTATTTTCTTTATATATATATATATATATATACTTTTACTTCTTAAATGCTAATGTTATATTATTTTTTATCTACAATTTCATACATTCTATTGTTGAACTATGAGATTCTATTGTTCATAAAAGAATAATCATATCTTTGCATATGTAGGCTGCATCACCATGGTTGTGGATTTATCCATCAGGCATTCGCCACCTTCTAAATTGGATCCGCGATCGTTACAACAATCCTCCCATCTACATCACTGAAAATGGTACATCCTATCGTGTTGTCAATGCATTTAATTCTCATATTCCATTGCATGATTCATTCCATTCTTAGAGCTATCGGTATTGTATAATTTGTGTGTAATGTTTCATGATCTCATTTGTTGGTATATCTCCTTACATGATGTGTGTTTGTGCAATGTTTCGTGATCTCATGCGCATGTTCGTAGGCGTCGATGAGTTCAATACAGCGAAGACTTTGTCCATTGCTCAACAATTGAACGATACCACTCGGATCAACTACTACCATGACTATCTCCAAAATGTTTTGTTGGCTATCAAGTGAGTTCTTGCACAAATAATGTGTTGTATGATTGCTTAATTCTCTTGGTTCATTGATTGACTTATTAAATTAGTGGAAGTTGGAAATATTGATACACAATATTGATTGTTTTGGTTTTGTTTTTTTTTATTGACGCTGTGTTTTAGAGATGGTTGCGACATCCGGTCGTACTTTGCTTGGTCGCTTCTGGACAACTTTGAGTGGGCTACTGGGTACACCGTCCGTTTTGGGCTCTACTATGTGGACTTCGACAATGACCAAGCTAGGTATCCCAAAGCTTCGGCGTTTTGGTTTCGTAAAGTTCTGAAGGGGGATAAATAGATAACAAACTCAAGTTATTGGAGTTTGTGTAAAACCTGCTTGAAAGGCTGTTGAGTTGCGGTCCGTTGGACTTCACGTACAATGATTATTCTTGTAAGAATTTTCAGTTGAAATAAAGAAAAGTGTTCTCTTACGCGTGCTGATGAAAAAAATAAAAATAAAAATATACGGAATCAAGCTCTCTTTCGCTTCCATTCATAATATGATAATGCTGTCGTGAAGGGTATCCGGGACAAAAACCAAGGCCTCTTTTGAACATGTTCATTCCTTAGTAGGATAAGTGAATAGCATTATCCAAACCCACCAGCAAATGTCACAGTCATTCTTCCATCCTCCGAAAGCCAGAGGTAGTCCCTCACACATATGCATGCTGAATCATGGAGCTCCTGACAAAACTAACTGCAGACGAGAGAAGTAAATTCTTAAGGTGGCTGAGACGTTGTAGGTTTTGATGAACATCAACTTATACATGCTTTTATAACTGAGTTGACATGATTATGAATGACAACGATGCTCCAGAGCTGGTGGGATTAACGACAGAACTTCAGGATAATCTTAAGGAGCTTCGGACAAAGGTGGCACCGCTGCTGGAAAAAGGTATATGAATACTAGATCATCAGAAACATCGATGATTTTTAACATGTTCTTCTTCAAAGGTTGGAGTGATTTGTTCTGCATGAATGCTTCCGCTCTGATCTTGGTAGCGGTTCTTAATTGATCATGAAGGTGAGGGGAAGGAGCAACTGAAGGACTTAATTAGTTGGAACTCAAGCACATGCTACTGCTAAGTTACTGCCAAGCCATTGTTTTTTTACTTATTGTTAAAAGCTGAGGGACAATCTGTTTAAGACCATCCCGTTGTTGGCCGCTTGGTTGACCTAAAATTATCATTAGAAAGGGTGATTGTTCTCCTGAAAGTCCAATTAGTTTTAGTTAAACTCCATGATTTTAGTCCAAGTTTTCTCTTGCACTGTTTCAGTTGTAATTTTATACTTTGAGTTGGGAGTTTAATAGTCTGCCGGTTAGCAGTTTGCCAAGCCTGGAGGCATAGATATTTAAGTTGCTCTGCGCCAGTAGTAAACTTTATTTCTTTATGATGTTTTTTCGTGTTCAACATAGTGTTTGGTGTATGGTATCCCGTCGGATGCCTGGAATGCAGAAATCACTAGTATAATTATTCTATGTCCTTTTGACAGCTTCGTCCGATCGAGGAAAAATTGCAGAAGCAGATAAAGCAACTGCTAAACTCAGACTTGATCGAGGCTGATGAGGAAGCAACAGAGGCCAATGTACCTATTTACACCTTTCTCCTATTTTAAACTGAAGCAATTATGCAGTGCTTCAGTTGAGACCTTGTTTTGGAATGAAGGAATGTAAAGGAAGTTGCCGTGCCTTATTTTCCTCATTTGTACTGGTTTTAATAATTTTCAGGAAAAACGCGAGAATTCTAAAGCTTCGACGAAAGCATCCAGTGAAGGGAAATCAAAGAAACGTAAACCTGCCGTTGAGGAGGCCGGGAATGGAACAAATGATCATGTTGAGGAGGTAAGATGTGATGAATTGCTGAAGCATCAGGTTCATTTCTATTTTGCAAGTCTGGTAATTAGATTTAGAGAATATATCCAATTGATTGCAACGAGATACGTGAAGATTTCAAGGAGCCAAGTGCTTTATATATTGCATGCTCAGTGCCAGAGTATGAACATGATTGTGTTTTCTTTGGTTTTAGGGGGTTCCTCCTTGGTATTGGATGTGTAGGACTAGTAGTAGTCTATTGCAAGCACTAAAAATTGGTTCGTGGTTAAGCAGGCAGATAATATGGTGGGAATCGTGAGCAAACAAATGTTGGAAGAGAGGTCTCGCTTGGATGCTCGTACACAAGTAGGGAGGCATGTTGCCCATGTACCCGTATCAAATGAAGAGCGTAAAAAAGCTAAGCGCCTTAAGGCTAGCACTGTGTGAGATTTTCCTCAAGAACTTGGTTTGAATTTGGGCTTTGATGTTTCAAAGCATTGTTCAAGATTTATGTGGATAAATCAGAGACTAATTGGCCTTTCGAAATTGATTTGGTGCAGTTCTCTTACTTAGACTTTGTTCTCTCAGCCGTGAGTACAGTGTTCTTGACGGAAGTTGTCTTCTGATCGACCGTTACACCGCATTGAGTATTCTAGGACAAATGAGTCTTCTGCTTATTTGCATTTCGAACTGGTTCTGCTCTTGGCAGAATGACAAGAACGGGCGATGATTTTGAGGATGTTGTGGACAACGATCCTGGAGTGTCGAATGGACTTCTCAATGCGAAGCCACGGTATTTTCACAAGTCATCGCTCAAGCTGGTAGACCTTTTAAGAAACCGCATGTATTAAATGGAGGACGATGTCGAAATTTAAATACTTATCGCAAAAGCCACAAAATCTGAATTCGCTACAGGGCATTCCTGTTGAACACAGCTGAATCGGCGACTTCTTATTATTGGCCTTTTGAAAGCGGTTGCAATTGTCATACGAAGAAAGCTAATAAGGATCCTCGCAAGAAGTACAAGGGTGCTTGTCAATTCTTAAACAACTTGGGTACTGCTTTTATTTGTATTGGGAACTCTCGGAAATGAGAATGTTGTGGGATGGACTGTGTCTCTCTTTTTGAGTATTGGATATCTTCTTAATTTAATGCATTTTACTTTTGTGCATTTCAGCCTAAGCACGAGAAGGCAGTCATTCGTCGGAAAGGTCAAGTACGTGAAATGCGACAAGCTACATCGAACTATGGCGGTGAATCTACTGGTATTAGAGCCAACACTAGTCGGAGTGTTCGGTTAAAAAACTAAACTTTTAGTTGCTATTGTAAGGGCAAACAAGATTATAAGCTGCTTATTTCTGTGACTTCCTTTCAAGATCTTCAGAGGGTCTCCCGGTGCAACCTTGGAGTTACCCATTTTACGAGGATATTTAGAGTGTACCTTTCAGCTGCTGGATATGAACAACCAGTTTTGCGCAGTCTGAACCGGTTGTACCATTCTGTGAAACGGCTGGTATAGAGCTTGTGGTACCTTGCGAGTGGCATGGTCAGCTTTACCTCCCCTACCAGCACCACCCTTTCGCGCAACTGCAAGCGCAATGAAGTGCACACTGCTTTACCATGTGTCCCTTCCAGTCCATCATCATATGATTTGCTTGGTCTAATGTGGGCTCCCTGTAAATGAAATTCTGATAAGTTCCATGTCTAGATACCGGTGAGCTCGGTTGGCCTCTTCATTCACGCCAGTTTCTAATGAAGTCTAAGTCAATCTCTATCTCTCTTGTGTCACTTTGATTCAGGTCCAGTAAAGCGGGATTTTCCATGTGAATCCCACAGACAATGTGGAGTCTCTGTCAGTGATCCTTACTTTATTTCATGATCTGGTCAAGGAATAGGAGTTACCCAACTAGCACAAAGTATGGCCTCAATCAAAAGCACATCTTCAGCCAAAAGTGGAGAACCTTAAGCTCTCTTCATTGGTGCCATTCCAGTCCAGGCGATAGGAAATGTAAGATTACTGATCGTCATGGACGGGTTTTGAGGCTGCAACTCTGGGATGTGAATTTACTAATGGAGTAAGATTGGCAAGCTCGCGTTCAGTTTCCTACGCACGCTAGACGTGCGTAAAGGTCACTTTGAAGCATGACTCAGATTAGATAGTCCTGCAAGCTTCCAGGAAACAAATCTGCGACATGATCGCACAACTGTTGAAAAGAAGAATTGGACCTCAGTCTCAACTCAGATTGTGTTGCACGTTGAGCCGATTGATGAAGATTGAGTTCACATCAAATTTCGGTTGAGATGGTTCAAGTGAAGCTCGTAACATCTCTCTTTTTCACGGCCTTCGTATCATTGACTTATCGTGGATTTCCCAGTTCAAAGTCACGTCAATTGGCTCCAATGTGAGGCTAAGGAACTATTATTGTCTTCAATATTGAGTTGCTGATCCTCGAACCTAAATTGAATTCTAGAGAGTTGCAGATTCTCTGGAGTCTTTGAATATGCATCGATGCAAAGTTGGGAGGATTCAATGTGGAACTGTTACATTCTGACAATCCACATTGAGGGAGGGATTAAACAACTTTCCTGCGAGAGAACTTTTTTTTTGTGAAAATAGTTTAGAACGTTGGAAGCTAGTCCGAAGGTGTTGAGCGCGCAGGCATAATATAATGCCTGAGAATGATGTAATGGAGACAAGAGGTGATTATTAGGGCCTGTGGTCACTGATAGACACGCGTTTAGAACAATACCTCTCATAGGAAGTTCCAGCATTAAACTTCAAATATTTTGCTGGGTGCAGAATAGTACTTTTCTGTCAATCATCTCTTAATCTCAGATCATGCACAGATAGAGTGGAACAAAAGATAAGAAAACTATGCTTTTGTTGACGTCGTCAGCCACGTAGAATCGTCAAAGATCGTGTGGGCATCAGGCGTCGATTGGTGAAATAGATTCCATTCGAAGGAAGCAGCTCCAGAAGCTACATCAGTGCTGGTCACTGTGGCTAGGATTTTGAATGAATTGCCCAGAGTTAATCACGGAATCCGGACATGCGGAATGCCATAACAGTGTAGCCACAGTTCAAGTTTGTAAGAAATAGAGCAAATTAGCTGACAGGTTTTTCTGCTCACTAATCACCGAGTGGCAGCCTAATACCGCTTGAAAAAATAGTAACAGAAACTATTATCGCAACTGAAAATGGTGGCAAAATGCACACCGTAATCGAGACTGATGTTTAAATTAGTTTTTGAGCTGGATTGTAATGTTGCATATTTTTCTAAACATGGTCAACATGTGGAATGAACCGTTTTCGTCAAGTCTAACTTCCAAAGGATTCCAAGCATGTCTGCAATGGCCACGCATATAAAACTGAACTTTAAGTCTTGCAGTCAACAGCACTACAGTAACGTGGTCCACAGATAATCACCAAGAGTCATTGAAATCCGGGCTTAGGATGGAATCGTGGATCGTCAAGGCCATCAGCTGCTTCCAGCTTCGATAATTGGCCACTCTATTCACAGAATTGGGCAACACTAGTCACAAGCGAGGGGGTAGCCCGGGGAAGATTCTAACTGTAAACTCACAAAGTTAGAAGTTCCACAATCCAATTTTGCATCCAAGCATCTGTTAGTTTTTTATGCTGTAACGATCCAAACCGTTTTAAACCGGAAATAACGTACCCACCTCCAACTGCTGTTCCTGCACCTGTTCAAACTTAACCGGTGGATAAAACTAGGGAGACTCAATTTTTTCTGTTTTCTTTTTTATTTAACAGTTTGTTTGTGCTTCTAAAGTTGGCAACAGTGGAAGGATGCACAACGAAAGATTGCGAACATGGGGCATGATTGTTTCCTCGTTTTGTGGCCTTACGAGCTGCGCTCGCCTCCTCTTCGGCACCATTTTATTATTTGCTTGTTCCCGGCAACTTTTGTCGATCACAAGCGCCCACGAGCATTGTGGCGGAATAAACGATGCGAAGCTGCTTCGAATCTCACCTCGTTTGCAACACCAGCGACTTCAAATTTTAATTGAGGGGAAACACTGGGTTGAGCTAGTGATCGCTAATAAGTAGAGCGAGTGATGGTTGAGAAATACTGTTCGTTTCAATGGAGTGATGCCTTGGAAACCACCAGCCCTTATTTGCCTGCATGGATCCGCTCCAATAGCTCGAGAACAAGTAGAGAAAATTCCATTCTTCTGAGGTTTATGTGTTAAATCCTTTCACCCAATGGGCCGTGTTAAGGTTTCATTCACATGTCCCTTCGAATTGAAGGTTTTGTGACTTTTGTGTGTGTAATATCATGGGTACATTTGGTACACTTGATCTGGATATTAAATTAGAAATTTCTGGAAAGAACAATGATTAATTTATTTTGTTTAGTGGAATGTAGTGTTGAAAGGTACATTGCATTTATCATGGTATCAAGCAGGCGGTGAGGAAGAGAAAAGAGTTTTTGTTGAAGGCCAATATTTTTCCAAATAGATTTTTATTCTAATTGTTGAAATTTTTTACACCTACAGTGATGGAACTTTGATGGGTCTAATAGTCAAAGACATGCCTAAATCTATGAAGCAATGAGGAACACCTGATTTTTTTTGTATAGAGTTACAAAATCAAGATGGTTTTGTTATTAAAGGTTCTGTGAGAGCATATCCAAGTTCTATCGAAAAACTCTGGCGTAAGAAGATTCATAGGATATTCATGAGATACCCAGATTATTGAAAATAAATTAATACACCCATTGACCACCACACCCAATTAAGGAACAAGAGTAACTTCATATTACCAAAGGATCTTGACAATAATTTCATTCCTTAAAATTTAGAAATAAAGTCAAGAAAAATGTATGATGTTGAATTCTGTAGTGTTCTGAAGAATTGATACACTTATCTGTTATATAAAATAGCATATAAAAACATAAAGATGCCTTCTCGTTGGTTGAACATGAATGGAGGGAATGGATGGTTGGATCGATGCTGGTGCGGCAAGCCAGGCTCCTGATATCTTGCGTCCAAGATCCCTGGGACCCTGCCGACTGCCCTCGTTGCCTGCGGTGCGTCGATGTCCAGGTCGCTGCCCCTCTTCCCGATCCCAGAGGACAAGGAATCACGGAGAATGAACAATGCGCAGGGAGTTGCGGTTGGAGCGAGAATGATTGACGGGGGCGAGAGAGTGTCTGTTCGTGGCGGGTTCCTGGTTATCATCTGCCTGTAGAACCGTCGGGAGGGACATGCGAAATGAGCTCCCATTTCCCAGGAGATCAACACGTGGATCCGAAATTCTTCCCCGTTATTTGCGACGACTCTAGATCCCTTTTCCGTATAGGGAAGCACAAATAAAGAGCCATCTCATTGGGGATAAGTAGACGCCCCGATGCATAACTTTGGGAAAGAGGAGTGAACTTGAAGGGATCCCCACAGTTTGAGTCAAATCACAAGGCACCCACATTCGGAGATCGTCGTCTATTATTGTTGCTAATCCTCGGCAGAAACAATCTAAGTTTGGGATTGTGAGTGCGTCGAGTGCGACAGCCTCGTGTGTGAGATTTGTGCCTGTTGGGTGTGGTGGTCAATGGCAACTGGCCACATTATGCATCAGCGGGAGGTGCACCAGCAAGAGTGGCCTGCAATGGCGAGCTGGGCTGCGCCTGGTGCGCAGGTGTGCGGGGGCAACACGTGGAGCAAGAGAATGGCGATGAATGCCCCGGACAATGAGTCCTGGGAGGTGCGCGCGTTCGCGGAGGACACTTGCTGCAGCGGAGCACAATGGCCACCTCGCTCATACTCTTGCAGTTTCTGTGGGAGGGAGTTTCGCACCGCGCAAGCGCTCGGTGGTCACATGAATGTGCATCGCAGAGAGCGAGTGCACGCGAACCAGCTCGCTCAGCTCCGCAATGCTGCCAATGCCTCCTCACAATCTCTTCGTGGCTCCTTGTCGGCGTCGTCGAAGGTAGGATGTAACGATGCGGAAGTTGCAGAGCTATCGTGGGCCCAATGCTACTCGAAGCCACGATCGGCGTCGTCGGCTCCGTTGCCTCTCTCCGCACCCTCCCACACCGCGGACTTTTTAACTTCAAAATCGGTGGACGCGTTCATGCCCGGAGCGAATCGAATGATCTCTGGTTCAGTCGTTTTCCCCTCCTCGCCTTCAGAGAAATCAATCTCCTCCAGCTCGTATGAGAGGATTCCGGACCTTGGCACCAAGCCTCTGCTCCAGAGCATGCCAGATTTTGTTCGTGAAGCTTTGTCCCATTCAAGTGGGTGTCATCCAAGTGAGAAATCATGGTGGAACTCCGGCTCTAATGTGAACTTTGAAAAAAATCCCCTACGCTTGAATAAAGTGATGGGGGAGCAAGAGGACAAGTTGGACCTTGAGCTCCGCCTCGGCCAAAGCTCATGTGCTGTTTAATTCTCCTCAAGCTTGGTGCTTCTACACAGATTGCGCAAGCACTGCAGTCACCGGAGACAGTGCTCATGAAAGATCGATCAGGTTTCAGAAACTTCTCCGGAGAAGTCAACACCACTCTCTTCGACTCGTAAATCGTCTTCCCAATGGACCACGTCCCATTGCGGTCAAAAATATTTTATGCCTTCAGCACGATTTGGCCAGTTTTTTGCATCAGTTTTGCAGGGTTCAGTACTTCGACGTACTGGAGTGAATTAGTCACCGAGTGCATCAGTCAGTGTTGTACGATTTGATTACAGAAAGGAAGAGAACGCACGTAAGTGGCTGCTTAGTGACGAACTTAAGGAGCAAAAGTGAAATTGCGAAGCCGCTTAGCTTAAGTGTTCCGCCTTGCTCCGGCCATGACTGTGGCTGGTGAACGTAGCTCATCAGAATATTTGATGGAACCAGTTGTTTTATAGGAGAAGTTCCGTTTGAAAGTAACTCCCTACATCACTTACTCACGTAGGCAAATAGATACATGATTTGAGCATCTATTAAAATTAATGTCACACTGGGTGTGCAACCTCATTCAAAATAACTTCATCTGCACCGATGATCTTTAAACCAATGGTCGCCGATTTCGGCCAATCCTACCATGCACTTGTCTCAGCCAAGTATTTACGTATCACTTATGGTGATGGGCAGAGTTCTCCGTCCTGTGTGTGTACATTTTAAGGATTTTTGTCTGGAAAGAATGTGCATAGCTTTGATGTAGTGCTCTGAGGACCGATCCAAGCGACAAAAGAAGGCTCATAAAAAAAACAAATTCTGTTCTCCGTTAGAAAAAGGCTCATTCACTCAACCGCAAGAGCTGGTCTATTGGCTGATTTTGTGCGCACAGCCTAGTTGTGTCAACTAAGTCTATATGAGAAGGTGCAATCCATGATTCAACAATAAATGGTGTTCACCTGTGTAGCAAATGTCCCTTGTAGAGCCTGAATTGTTGTGTTGAATGGAGAATTTGATGACGAGTAGATATGCTCTCGGAAGAACAACATATGTTGTGATAAAATCTGGGGGTACGAACAAGGCAACCAACTCATCGGAAGAGCGCGAAAAGATCATGATTCGTAAGATCGACGTTACTTCTTACCCATTTCTACCGCTATACATTCATGTATTTTCCACTGCCGTTCTAGCTCACTAAAGTAGTCTGTTATTGTGAACACAAAACATGCATGACCCAGACAGATTCTTTTCGAAGTGAAGGCAACATGGCGGATTCTGTTGAATGAAATTTAAAACCCTAATCAACACAGGAGCGTAACTGAAGGCCATGTTTAAACCAGATTTGAATGTAATCTTTGAATGGCACAACCCAAAGAAATTCCCAACAAAATACTGGAATTTGAATTGAAGAACGCAAGCATACCTCATGCGACAACGCCCTCCGAATCAGACACAAGGATCAAGGAACATGAACTTCTTTGCAAGCGAATTAGTTTTGCAACCGACCAATCCTCCTAGAGTCAAGAGTCTACCCACTCAAGCGAATAACTAGATGGCCGTAGTTTTCTCTTTCCTCAAATCAATGAACAACTGATCTTTGTGATTCAAATCTTGCGAAACAAAATCCCAATGAGTTGTTTCCATTCTTTTTTTCTTTAGAAGAGGTATACGTAAAAGATAAGAACTCTTTCTACGCTTTTTGTGCTTCGCATGCACAGAAATTGCGAACCCTAATCTTGCCGAAAGCCACTGCGGAACCCATTGGGTCGCCACAGACCACGACAAGTTGCCAAGTAGGCCACACTCGAAAGTGGGCCAAGTGTGCATCACGCACTGACCTGGGAAAGCAGAGCTTTACGCTGCACTGAACAAGACAAACATCACATATAATAGAGCAGGTGAGTTCAACCTTGCGAAAAGCAGAGCCAAAAGTGTAATAGTAGACAACAATTTGTATCGTATGTCCTCTCTTCTCTTCATGTAATCCCATTTGGAGGAGATGCGAATTGGAAAGGCAGAAAAGAACGAGGGGCATCGTCGCCGGTCTTTGTTGCCCAAAGCTGCGATACCCTAGCCGCATACCCGTCGCATGCCCGGCAATTGATATACCGGCACCCACTTAAGCTCACACGCAACCAGCACATGGCGCATCCTCGCTTAGCAGGTGTTCATTAACGATGAGTCTAAGCTGGTGTGCAAAGCGTCTAATCACGACCCAAATTTGGGGAAGCGCTACCATATTATTGGCCTCTGAAACGGATATCTTCATTCCAATAGTAAACGACCAGCAGAAGTCAGCGGAATCTAAAAACTTTCCGTGATTAGGTCACCTGGATGGTGCCAGCTACGATTGCTGTGAATGCCGAGTTAGGATGAGCGAGCAACAGAAGAGGATGATGAGGCGCGTCCTGCTCACTGTGGGGATTAATATGAAACGCGCCAGCATTCTACTGGTGTCTCCAGCTCAGGGGCCAATCGCTCGTGCTCGTAGGCGTTAAGTTGGTGGAGTTGATTCCATAAGTTGGTTGCAACGGGAGACGGATTAGGGCAAAAATTATGAGATGCTGGGCTGTCGAATTGTGGGCCAAGAGAGCTCGTGGAACATGGTGCGCAGCCCATCGGGAGCCCCTCTCGGTGCGGAGAATGACCCTAATTCCTGTATCATCACTCGTCTGTAATGCACGAAAAATCTTCAGCAGACAGGCAATTTTCCTCCCCAAATTTTCCGAGATTCTAAACACACGGTACCAGTACGTGACTGGCATCGACCAAACTTTCAAGCCCTAGAATTCTACAAATAGTTTTAGATGGATTCTATTACGAAGCGTTACAATTTGGGTTTTCAACAGGGATGACGTACGGATGATTCCCTAGTTCCAGAATGGGAAAAAAGTGTAAATTCTGACCAGTCGAGTTTGTAGAGATGAGGGAGGTGACATGTTGCACCAACAACTCTACAATTGAGGGACTTATCACAGTTGAAAAGACAACACGACAGATGGACAGATGGCTGGTGTTCGCAGTTGGCGCCGACCTGGCTTAGATGCTGAAACTCGAGATGGGGGGTTATGCTTGTGGAAGATTTCGTCCCCATCCGCACCCGGCTCTCACTGCCGGAAGTGAGTAGCTCAGAAGCTAGCAGGCGTTGATTTCCATTTTCCAATCCGATGAGGGAGGACCGACTTGTTGCCAGAGTGGCCAACATGTCGAATTGGAGTAGCGTCTGACGATGCAGAGGAAGCGACGTACAATGCTCATTGGGGAGCACTGAGACAGAAATGTTTTTTTTCTAGATCCTACGCGCTCCAAAATTAAATCCTAAATCCGGCCCAGTAACTACTTTATCCCAGTTTTGAGGGCGTCGAATGCGGGATGCAACTTGCTGCAGCACATCATGCCCTCAGTCCTGCAAATTTCTATGCTTAGTCGGATACAGTATAAATATAAAATAACTATTGCCTATTTCTAAGATCATCTACAAATCCTGTTGCGTGAAAATCGGAAGTAAACCCAGAAAGTTTTTCGACGTGTAATTTAGCGATTGGTTTCCATACGAGAGGAGCTTCATTTTGGGGACCAGAATAAAAGACGGAAAAGAAAGTAAGTAATAAAACGCAGCAGTCGAGTTGTTTAAAATGCTTTGGTGCTTCGAAAGATTTTTTTGTCAAAGTCCATTCAATTGGTCTTAGGCTTGGCTTGTGCAAAGTTCGAGGGACGATGATGGAAAGCTAATGCAAATGATGGAAACAGTACCTGCATGGGTTTGCTTTTTGTGTTTCTAGTGGCCCGACCCAGAGCGAGAGAAAACAAACTTTATATTTTGTGTACCACTGATAACTGTAATATAAAATTCTTATACAGAAATGATTCGGAAAAGAAAAATCCTCTGCGGGCTGGGGCGAGCATCGGCATCTGAAAAAAATTCCCTTGCGCCTGGAGAATACGTCCTTTCTACCGAGGCCGTCGTTTCCGCCGCTGCCCCAATGCCAACACCCAAAAGCGATCTAAAGGATGTGGCTGACCCTATGCATCGCTAACCAAGTCACGTTTCTAACGGGCTTGTCAGAATCGATCAGTTCATAAACAGACCAGCGTCTCAGAAATCCGCTTCCAGGCACCGACGCGCGTAGTTCACGTAATCTTACTTCACAGTTGCACGTTTCGTCTGCACTTTGGGATTGAGAGATTTGGGAAGCAGGCTTGTCGCCGGCCAGCAGGTTTGCCAGGCGCAGTGAGTCGTCATCGATAGCTGGAGCGTGGATTTGGAGTAAGCTGGACGCAGCTAACGTGAGGGTTACTTTGATTGATGCATGCGCAAGGTCAAGGGCGTGGGTACGTGTGAGGGATTTGATTCTTGACTGCAATGGCGTGGACGCGGTGATTGTGGTTCGTAGGCGAGAGCGGGATTCGACCGCTTGTGAGGCCAAGAGGGGGGTGGGTTGAGGGTAAGGAAGAGCTTCCTGTCGTAGCAAATGAGGAAGACGTTGAAGCACTGCTGTTGTTTCACATCATTGATGCAGCTCAGCGTTCGCGCGTTTGTCGGCGCCTCACCAGGTAGTGTGGTCGCAACAATTTGAACTCTTGGTGTCCTGTCTTTCCTTCAACATATCTATGTTCGGCGCACAGAATTAACTTCATGACTCTCGTGACGTTTCGGGCATTATTGGGCAGATGGATCGTGTTTCGCAGCGTTCGAGTCCGGGTCCGAGTTCGGCTTTAGATCCTTCGTGTGACGCATTTGTTCACAGATTTTAAGAGTACCCATTTGCGGGGAAGTTATTGGGATTCTTTCTTGTAGGACTTAGTTAACAATGTGTACAGACATCGCTGTATTCCGTAAATTCCGGTAGAGAATATGCTAACTAAACTTCTTGCTGTTCTTTGCCTTCAACTGTGTTCGCGGCTTGGCCGGTCAGTGCTGTAGTGCCTCTGTTGTTTAAGTGGGGATTCTTAACTCGCAGATGACCATTGGCTTAATTCCTCACTTTTGTCACACCTAGCCTGGTTGTCCAGGAATTTATTGTCTCGCTTACTTTCCTCTCTCGGCACGCTACTCTTTCTCTTATCAGTTCTGTGAGAAGGATTGCAGCACATTTTAGGTTCCACACTTTTTTCGTCTTCCTCTTCTTCTTCGTGTATGTGTATTTTTTAAGAGTACATCCTCGGTTTTTGGAGAGTTCAGGGGGTTAGTTTAATTAACTAGAAGCTGAACACTACACTAATTCCGCATGGGGCGATGGTGTTAAAAGATGATAGGGGGATTTTGGGTGCTGGGATCGTACGCTAATCAGATAATCAATAGAGAGTTGAGGACGGGAATCAATTTGGGAAACACTACTGTCTCTGACACATGAAACTGGGATTTACACACCTAGCATGCACGTAGGAATAACATCTTTGACATTTAGAAGTTGGGACTGACATTCGAGTCTCTGAATTTCAGGATGTGTTCGAATTCTATCAGGGAATTGTGTCAGCACAGAGGGCTTTGCCGAGAGACAGAATTGTGCGCTCTTAGATAGCAGTTGATCATTCAAGTTATGTCGATTTTTGAACCACTTCAAAACACCATGGGCTATATCCAGAGTCGCCTTATTGCAGGTAGACGTGCCCAGCACTTGGTCGCCTTGTCTTCGCTGTTCAACACAGGCATCCAACCCGCAATCAAAGACATCAAACCGTCCGTCTCTTATGGCCAAGCTCTTCAAGCGAAAAAAGAAGAAGACTTCGTCATCGTCAAGACGAATTGCCAAAGGATCCCCGGGGACGGGTCCTCAACCTACGATGCCTTTGCGGTAAGTGTGAAGCTCCTCTCACATAGTACCCTCGATGTTTACAATCCTAAGTGAATTTAATGACCTGTAATTCGGGTCGCATTTGCACTGAAATAAACATGGGATTTTTGTTCGAGCAGATTTTGGACGGCCACAATGGATCCGCTGCTGCGATATTTACGAAGGATAACCTGCTGAACAATGTCGTCAGTGCAGTCCCATCCGGCCTGAATGGGGAAGAATGGTTGGCGGCTCTGCCTCGCGCAATGGTTGCAGGGTTTGTGAAGACCGATAAGGACTGGCGATCTAAAGGTACCCCATATGGTACCCTAAGAGGTACCTTCGGCGTTGTTACCTTGCTAAACTGTTTGTGCAAGCGATCGCCTCCGAGAACAGGAGTTGACTGAACTACGTACTTGATGTAATTGTGCTTTCAGGGATCTTTTCAGGGACAACAGCAACCCTAGTGATTGTGGACGGATTTACTGTAACTTGCGCCTGTGTTGGTGACTCCCGATGCGTGCTCGATGCACAAGGAGTTGCGACAGCCCTAACGATCGATCACAGATTCGACACCAATGAGGAAGAGCGGGAGCGCGTTGTTGCAAGTGGAGGCCAGGTGGCCAGGCTCCACCCTTATGATTGCGAGATTGGGCCATTGAGATCTTGGCCGGGCGGTCTGTGCCTGTCGAGAACAATTGGAGACCTCGATGCGGGCGAATACATCGTCCCTGTGCCCCATGTGAAGCAAATCAAGCTTTCACCTGGAGGAGGCAGGCTTATCATCGCCTCGGACGGAGTCTGGGACGCCCTGACCTCAGAGAAGGCTGCCAAGGTCTGTCGTGGTGAGAAGCAACCGGAGGTTGCTGCGAAGAATATCGTCAAGGAGGCAGTCAAGGTGCAGGGTTTACGTGATGATACAACCTGTCTGGTGGTAGACATAGTTCCTCCAGGCCGAGCTTCTCGCTCCTTCGCTCCAGCAGTCCGAAAGCAAATGATGGTGATGAAGTTCTTGCGGCGCACACGGAACAAGAAGTGTAGCACTGTTGCTGCCCCCATGGAAGAGCTCTTCGAGGAGGGTTCTGCAAAACTGTCTGAAAGGTGAACTCAAATCATGCCCACCAACGAAACATAAGATAAACCTATGATGAATTCATTAACCCTTGCTTGGGTTCACTTGTGTCAGCGTCTTCTTTCATCGGTTGCTCACACGTTTGTGGTGTTTTGTTTCGTAATCCAGATTGGGACCAGTGACTTGAGAGCAAAACACAGAAGCATGAAACCTCCTCTTCCTTCGCAATTATCATTGCAACACCAATGCAGGCCGCTGCAGGCATATCTGTTCTTGCTCGCTGGGTAGCCTACGAACTTGAGCTCTAGGATATCTTCTGATTTGTGTGCAAGTGGAATCATCCTGAAGTCGTTCGAGGGAAGGAAAGGCCGCTACCATATCTAGCTCAAGGACTGAACTCATCTCTTCTCCAACTGACAGCATCGGACTCTCTTGTATTATGTGAGTGCACTGTAGATGACATGCAGCTGAGCAGATCATTTGTCGTAAACAATTGTCGGTGAGGTTCAGAAAGCAAAGAATGCATCCATAAAAGGTCTAGGACTTCAGACTCGAGCAGTGTAAATAGACAGATAGATACAGACAGATTCCGAACAATTCATTCAGGCACTTGGGTCACTGCCCGTGTGACTTCGCAGCCTGAGGGTTTCCTGAACCCTTGCAGGAAAAATAACGTTGTAATATTACACTTCATTGGCATTCAGCTGACTTCGCAATCAGAGAGGTGCCCAGAAAAAGTCCACCTTTCTGTTGTTGGTTGTGTTTTGACCTCCGGATCTTAGATAGTGCTTCTCACCGAATCTTGTCGCTGCTTTTCAATGCATTTCCTTTTTCATTTCATGGAGCGGGATTAGTCCACAACAAATGCGTACAGTGGAACAAACAAGATCCTGCCATGTTGTCGTTAGCTGTAGATCACCGTCAATGGCAGACTTCAGTAGATTGCAGGATATTTTTTATTTTTTATTTTTTAGTTTGTTTGAGTTGAGACGAACGGGAAGACTTGTCGCACAGAGTAAGGAATGGATGTAGGATTTGAAACCGAGTAGTCGTTGGTTTGTTGGAACTATCTTCTGAAAGTTATAATATGGTTTTACTGAAGCAATTGATGTGTTTGTCCTTAGAGATTTTAAGATAATACTTAAAGTACCGAACGGAGGAACTGCACAAGCATTAGATACTCAATAGAAAAATAAAAATGTAAGAAACATTATTGTTGAAGAAGCAGATATACCATGAAAAAATACTTATGGAATTATCGCCAAAAGACTTGAAAAATATTAAAGAGATTATGAATAATGTTGAAAGATGTAAGGATTTCAAGGAAAAGTACAGTGATCAAAATACCAAGTTTTGTTTGGTGGAGGTGAATTGTTGTAATATTAGAATCATTTGCAAGTTACATACACTTGTTTTATTTTGACATTAAGTTTTGATTCTTGTATGTATTAAATGTGAAAAGTAAAAGATGTCTCAGTCTTATGTTAAAACAAAGTTTATATCAAAAGCAGTATAGACATTGAAAGTAAGTGAAGACACTATGTCTTAAAAAAAAATTGCATTATACCACAAAAAATCCTTAAAAATTCATTAGCTTATGGAAAAATATAAAAAAGATAACTCTGAAACAAATTTAAGTTATTGTGTATAAGCCTTAAGTATATGTTTTAAATAAGTAAAGTTGTAATTAAGTTAGTGTTTGATGATTAAGTAAATAATATTTTATCAATAGAATTTAAATTTAGAAGGATTCAACATAAGAAAATTTTAAAAAATCTTAAAGAAAATAGTTGTTGAATGTGTTGCTTTCCAAAAATTACATCTATAGTGACTATAGATTCTCTAATGGTTACAAAAATTTGGAACTTAAGAAATAATTTTTAAAACAAATATTCTCTTTCAGTGTTACATTGTCTTTCTAAGTCACAAATACATCTTCAAATTTGTTTAAGGTTTCTTACAGTCAATATAAGTATAAATTCTATTAAGTAGAGATGAATATTATGCACCTTATATCAAGGGATTTCTATTAATACTTTCTCATAAATCATTACATACTAAACTATTTTGAATAATGAATAATAATATGATGACATTAGTTTGTGTGATTTTTTTTTAGAGTAAGATGGTGTTTATTAAAAATTTGGATATGAGTAAAGTTTTGCACATAATCTAAACAAAGCTAGTCAATGGTGTTAAAAAAAATTGTATCTTGTAATACACTAAATGATAACAAGTAAAATTTTTTAGTTAACCAAACATTAACTCTGAATCTTTATTACACTATCATAATGAATTATACAAAATAGTGTAATAGTAATAATATAAAACTCATTACATTATAACAGTGTTTTGTATTACAACAATGTTCTCAACATGCAAATTGCAGCTCCATGCAAATTGAAATCCTTCCTAAGATCAAAATCTTTCAACAACATGCTGTCTAAAAATTCGCATCAATTGAGTGAAAAAGACATAATCCATTCGAACATCAATTAAACTTCCATTCAAAAAGCGCAACGTAGGTGACAGAATCAAGGGCTCAAATGACACCTCTGAGCACTGATTCCACCACAAAATTTATTTCTCTTCATTTCTGTAATAAAATGAAAAGTGACTGGAAGCTTCAAATTCCTCATGACCAGACAAGACGCATTAACTGCCATTTTCCCTACAAAAAGTAGGATCACCCTTCTGACGACGACATTCAATAGAGATCAAGCGCCATGAAGCATTCAACTTTGGTTTTCTCGAGCGAAGTTCTGCACAAGGATAAGTTCTCCTGCACACATGGCTCTCTTGTTGTCTACTTACCACCTTCTTATTGAAGAAATACTATAAGCATAAGACAAGTAAGTAGAAATCAGCAAGGTTGCACATAAGAGAAGTGTGGAATGAGATGACTCTTACTTCCAACACCCATTACTTATAATCAGAGTTCACATCCAATATGTATAGACTTCATCCACATTCATCTATAACTAGCCGCCACTCGAGACTCTAAATTTAACCGCCTCTCGAGACTCTAAACCTAGCCGTCTGTCGAGACATTAAACCTAGCCGCGTGTCGAGACCCTAGCCGCCACTTAGTCCTTAGTTGCCTTTGACCATTAGCAACTTACTTAAGAGAATATTCTCTATAAGATAACTTATTCTACTTTTACTATTACCTATTTATCTCAACATCTTTATCTTTTACCTCAATACTCCCACTTTGCTAATTGTCAAAGCCCTTCAAACCTAATGCCTTTGTCAACATATGATGTCTATCTTTTATCAATGCCTTTGTTAACAAATCAGCAAGCATATCTTCTGTTGTACAATACTTCAAGTCAATCACTCCCATTTCAATCTTCTCTCTTATAAAGTGATGTTGAATGTCAATGTGCTTGGTTCTTGAATGATGCTTTGGATTCTTTGCAAAAGCAAGGCATCCTTGATTGTCACAATTCAATAGAGTTGCTTCCAATTGCATAAGTCCAATGTCCTCCAAAACTTGCCTTAACCATGTTGCTTCCATTGCACCATGGCTTGCTGCCATGTACTCCGCCTCCATTGTGGACCTTGTAATTGTGGGTTGCCTCTTGCAATTCCATGAAATTGCTTCCACTCCAATAAAGAATACATAGCCCGTTGTTGACCGCCTCATGATTCTCTTAATGGTTGCCCAATGAAGTGGTGCTGCTTTTGACATGTGTTGACTTACAACACTCACCGCATAAGCAAGATCCACCCTTGTGCCAACCATTGCATACATGAGTGACTCAACTGCTGCCTTGTATGGAACACCTTTCATTTGGCCTTCAACTTGTGCAAACTCTTCATCCATGAGCTTCATCAACTTCAAATTGAACTCCAAAGGTGTTCCAATAGGCTTGCAATCCTCCATGTTGAATCGTTTCAACACTCCTTCAATGTACTTCCTTTGGCTCATTGTGATGGTCTTGTTAGCACGATTTCTTACAAATTTCACTCGTAAGCAATAGTGAAGCTCTCCCAAATCACTCATTTCATATTCCTTTTCTAACTTTGCCTTCAATCAATCCATCATCTTTAGAGTATTGGTTAAGATGATTAAATCATCTACATAAAGAATAACAATCATCAAAAACTCTTTTGATTATATCACATACATAGAATGGTCAACCTCACTTCTTTGGAATCTCTCATTAACAAAGAATGTGTCAATTCTTTGATACCATGCCCTTGGAGATTGCTTGAGTCTATACAAGGATTTCTTCAACTTACAAACAAGATGTTGCTTGCCTTCTTCTACAAATCCTTGAGGTTGATCCATGTAGATGTCTTCTTCCAACTCTCCATTCAAGAAAGCCGTCTTCACATCCATTTGATGCATCTCCAAGTCCATTACTACCTCAATTGCCACAATGGTTCTAATGGTGGTGAACTTAGCCACGGGAGCAAATGTCTCATTGAAATCAATACCAGCAACTTGTGAGTATCCTTTGGCAACTAGCCTTGCCTTATATCTCACAATATCACACATTGTATCCCTCTTGGTTCTAAACACCCACTTACAACCAATTGAAGATCGATTTGGTGGAAGTTGAGTCAATTTCCATGTTCCATTGCTCATGAGAGATTTGTACTCTTCTTCCATAGCCTCTTCCCACTTCAACGCATTTGTAGACTTCATAACATCACATATATTCAATGGATCAGCAAGGAGTGCAACATTTGCATGTTCTTCACTTATTTGAGGAAAGTTGTAGTCCTTCTACCATTCACCACATTATTTTCTTTCTCTTGTAGGATATCTTCTATCATTTGAAGAAGATTCACCTTGATGCTCTCCAACCTTCTTTTCTTTTGAACCTTGTCTCTTCTCACTCAAAGGTTGGTATTCCTCATCATCGTCATCATCTTCAACTTCTTCATTGTTTGTCATACCAATTGTATACACTTTCTTCTTCTTCTTCTTCTTCATCTTCTTCTTCTTCTTTCGTTGTTGAAATTGAAGATGTATCCACAAATACACCATTACTCCCACTTGGACACATCTCTAAGTGCTCACAAGCACTTTTATGCTCTATAAATTCAACATCACGACTTTTGATAATCTTCTTGGTATCCAAACACATTAGCCTATATGCCTTGGTACCTTCACAATATCCAAGAAACACACATTTTGTACCTTTTGCATCAAATTTGGACCGCATACAATCTGGTACCTTTGCATAAGCAATGCATCTAAAAGTCCTCATGTGTGAAACATAAGGTTTCCTCCCACTCCAAGCTTCTTGTGGAGTCATTGATGTAAGTGCATTTGTAGGACACCTATTCCTTATATACACAGCTTCTGCCCAAAATTCATGCCCAAAGATTTGAGCATGAATCATACTCCTTGTCATCTCCACAATAGTTCGATTTGCTCTTTGAGCAACTCTATTTTGTTGTGGAGTATAAGGAGTGGAAGTTTGTCTTGCAATACCATGAATCTTCAAATACTCATCAAAGTACTTTGACAAATACTCACCTCTATTATCTATACGCTGTCGTATTATGTGCTTTCCTGCTCAAGAACGCGTCGGGCATCTGGCTGTAGAAGGTAGTATGGAGATTCGCCAAAAGTCAAGCAGTCTATCAGTTTTTGACTATTAGAATATAAACTACTGCAAGAATATACCGTAAATCTATACGGATGTCCTTCGACTGCTCATCAAAGTCCTTTTTGTCCCGGCCGGTAGGTCTCTAGACGTTACAGAGAACCCCGAACAACCCAAACTGCTAATCTTCGACACCACTTT